TTCAGCTTCTTGATAAAATATGAATCTGCTTTTACATTTGCTTAAATCCCAACTTCCAGCCACTCATCTCTTCTTCACAGATTTAGCAATTCATATGCTTGAGATGTTGTGTCTTGCAGCCTTAAAGTGACTATATTCCGTGGCTTGAGTTCTCAGCCATATGAGCCTGAATTCTTTTATGTTTGCTATGCATCTATTTGATTCATTTGAGGTTCCTCCCTTGCTTTTATGTTAATTTCTTTTGGTACTCATCACGAAGAAAGCCCGATAACTATACAGATCTAGTTTTGTGCTCAGATTTTGAAATTTGTTTCCTGATTATATGATTCCATGACGCAGGATGGGCAGCACCATATTATCCCCCAGAGACTCTACGTTTCTGATAACGGTCAGAGAAGCTTGTCAGCGTTATCAAGTATTAGTATACTTCCATTCTCCCGATTGTTTCTCATTGGAACCGAAGATGGTTATCTGAGAATCTGTTGTTAAATATACTTCACCGTTTTCCTTATCTTTCTCTGTACGTATGAATGATCAGCCATATCAGAGGAACCAACTGCATAGTACATAATTTAATGCTACTCATCGGTTCAGGCTTTCAGCCAAAATGTCCCTGTATAATTGTCTTTTTTATTATTTCATGAGATCTCAACTTTGAAGTAAAAAATTGGTTGTTGGTTTCCTAGTCTAATTGTGCCCCTTGTATATTTTTGACACAATGATGTTCTGATTATTCAAACTTGTATTTGGGATGTGTGAACCGTCACGTAGAAATCCATACTAGCATGTCGGACAATAAAACGTAAACTTAACAGGTAGTGTGCGCAAATGTTACTCGGTGCTATTTTAAGCGCATTAATTAAGGATAATATATTGAAGTTTTTATTTAAATATTATGAATACACCACCTAAGCATACATGCCCTTTGTTTTTTATATGATTTTTAATTAAAAAATTATTTTATTATTGGAGTGTTGGTAAACGATAAACTTAGTCAAAGATGAGTTGCATTTGGACATTGACTTCGATTTTGATGTATCTCTATTATAAAACGGAATTCTGTCGTGCTATTGCTCAAATGTCGGTTTACTTGTCTTGTAGTTTTAAAATAATACGAAATAGTTTCATTTTAATCTATCTATGATAAATAAGCAATTCAAGAGTTTAGTTGTCATCTCATATTATGTTGATTAATTGTGACTTAGCTTGTGGTAAAATACTAAAGTTTTTATTTTTCATCTTTATAAAAGGAATATTTCTCTCTCTCTAAAATTAAAATATTGTTTTTATTCATAATAATTTATCGGTTTATCTATCTCGTTATACATCATTTACTAACTTCTTTTTTATCATCTTTTAATTAGACAATTCTAATTTTTATCAAATAAAAATTAGATTATTTATTTAGTAAAATAAGTAATTAAATAATTTCTATATATTTAAAAATTACTAAACAATTTATCTTTTTAAAAATTGTCACGTAATTCTTTTAATACAATTCTTATACAATCATATATATTTTCATGTTTTTCAATTAACTACATATAGACATTGTGAAACCATATATATTGGACCAACAAATTTATTAATTTTGTTTTTTAAATTAAACGTCCAAAATTGCTTAGGAAGACTTGTTGCAATTTATTGGACATACTGTACATAAAATATTTCTATTGGAAATTGAGTAAATAAACTAGGTTACATTACATATTCTAATTTTTATTGTATAGAGAAAGAAAATTAAACATGAATTGCAATGTTTTTTCTCCAAAAATGAATTTCCGAGAATAGAAAACACAAAAGAATCATAGAAAAAAAAGAAGACAAAAAGTAAACGGCTAAACGCCAAGAAAGGTCGTTGGAACTTGCAACAGAGTGGTGTACGATGGGCATTGGCCATAGAAAAATTCTAAAAATTATCCAAAAAGAGAAGGGGCATAATGGGTAAAAATTGAAGTGATGTTGAATTGCAGAGAAGCTTATATTTAGTTCGTCGCATCGTTCATTGTTTAGGATCTGGTTTCGATTTCTGCTGCTGACTGCGTTTTATCTGTTGTATCATTTCACATCTTCACACCCAACCAACCATCCACCAAAAATGTTGGCGGTTTTTGACAAATCGGTGGCAAAGAGCCCTGAGGGTCTTCAGAGCCCTCAATCAAATTCCGTTTCAGCCTTAAAAGATGGGTTTCTCGCACAGCACTTCTCTTCCGTTCACCCTGGTTCCGTCACCGTTAATCTTGGCACTTCGGGTCTCCTCGCCTATTCTCTTCACAAACAGAACCCCCTTCTCCCAAGGTCCATCATTTTCTCTTCTTTTTTCGATGTCTTATTTCCCCTTCATTTTGGATCCAAAAGAAGGACTCATTTGAGTGTGTGTTTCTTTATGTTCATTTTCCTTACCCTTTTATTTTCATTATTTTTTTTTCCTTCTCGGGTCATCGTCTTAGACGTTTGAACTGAAGGGAGATTAAAGTTGATTCTTTTTCTTGGTAAACTCATTAGGTTTCCGTTTTGTATTTCTTGATCTTGGAAGTAAATTTGTCGCCGATGTCTTTGTAAACTCAACCTGCTTGTTATTTTATGTTTCTGAGTTTGAATCTCAAACTTTTTAGGATAACGGTGTGTAGTTGAAGCTTTCATATTGCTTGACATTTTATTGTAGAATTCGATTATTGATTAATGGAAAATGTTGGATTCTTTTTTCTTTTCTTTTTATGTTCTTGAGAGTTATTCTTGTTTGTTTTCATCATCTTGATCGTTATTGATTATTATTGTTCTGGCTGGACCTTTGACCGAACATTAGATTTCATCTCCTTAGCTTATTAGCACGCGCGTGATTCTGTGTTTCAATTTTTATTTTTATTTTTGTTCTGGCATTATCTATCTTGTTTCTGTTGATGGCATTAAGTCCGAATACAAGAAAAAAGTAGTAACTACCATGTATGAGAATCCTTTAGATATAGCACCTCTTTTTAGCTTTCTCACAGATCTTAAAATATATTTTGTTAGAATATTAACTGTGTATTCTCAGTCCTCGCCCTTCCTTTTGTCTTCCTTTCCCAGTTCCCACCAGTAGAAGTCATTCTAAGGTAGTTTTGCTGTACCATTTGTAATCTTTCTACCTTAGTCTTAACTGTTTTCTATTGCTTCTTGTTATGTTACTTCAGTGGTTTTAATGAGATCAAAGTAAGTTCACATGTCACAAGGTTGTAGTTCTTCAGCTTGAGCCTTAGAGCAATACCTACCTAATCATTCATGTTCAATGTTAAACTGAAATTCTCCTCTACTTTCTCTTTGATCAGTAAAATGACAATTTTGAAAATCCTGAATTCTTGTCATCTAATTTTATGAAAGAAACTGGACACTATAAAGTTGTGAAAGATTTCTCTCGTAAAGATTACTCTCTTGATATACTGATTTTCTTACGTTGCCAGGCTGTTCGCTGTTGTGGATGACATTTTCTGCTTGTTTCAAGGTCACCTTGAGAACGTTGCGAATCTTAAGCAACAATATGGATTGAATAAAACGGCTACTGAGGTAACCATTATCATAGAGGCATACAGAACTCTAAGAGATCGTGGTCCCTATCCTGCTGCTCAAGTTGTGAGAGATTTCCAGGGAAAATTTGCGTTTATTCTGTATGACAGTAGTGCTAACACTGCATTTATTGCTGCAGTGAGTTATCCTCGATTCAGCTCATTTCCTGTCTATTTGCCAATGTTTTTCTTTTCTAACTTGAGATACATATCCTGGTTGTTGAAAGGATGCTGATGGGAATGTTCCCTTTGCTTGGGGAACTGATTCCGATGGAAATCTTGTTCTTTCAGACGAGGCAGAGATCGTAACTAAGAGCTGTGGGAATTCCTTTGCACCATTCCCCAAAGGTAATATTAAGATTTGTTTTGAAAAGGCAATCTGAACTAAATAAGAACCCAGTGCTGAACATCACACCACCCTTAGAATCACTCTAGTTGTGCTACAATTGATGGTTTCTTTTCTTTCTGGACTACCATTGTGTAATCGTTTATTTTGCAATTACGTTTGTTCCATATTGGGCATCAATGTAACATTTGATCCCCATGTTCAGGATTTTTCTTTACAACATCCGGAGGATTGAGCAGTTTTGAGCATCCACTTAATGAGGTGAGGCCTGTGCCGAGGGTTGGTAGTTCAGGACAGGTGTATGGTGCCAATTTCAAGGTGGATGCTGAGACTAAGAAGGAATCAACTGGCATGCCAAGGGTTGGGAGTGCTGCTAACTGGTCAAATAATATATGATTGCGACCCCGTTCTGTTTGAATTAAGGCTTTTATCATAGCCGATTTCGGCTGAATTTTAAAATTCTGGTTCTGTTCCCATGATTTTACTTTGAGGCTCTAGCGAGGCTTGGCTTATCATATTAAGCTATACAATTTGCTTGGAGCAAATATTGCGCTCATTCTCTCTTGTCACAGGTCATGTAATAATATCAACTTGTGGACAGGTTCATCCTAGAAATTATGATTGTACGGCTTTTTTTTTTGTCTCGAATTTTAGCCATATCTGTACCATACTTTGACCATTAATATATAATAATATGAAAACATGATCTCTCTATGAAGTCAACTGCAGTGAGAATGTTAATGTTTGTGAGACGTTGAAAATGCAAAATATTTTGCTACTTGCTATAAAGGAAACGTTTATAACTAAGGGGAACTCGTCACTGAAATATACTAAGTAACAACACTTTTCATACAAGCCGTGAGCAAATATCTAGAAGATTAAGGTTAATAGAAATATTCAGCCACTGTTGTCGCTTTTGTGATTCGTCCCAGAAGTTAGAATCGCCTTTTTAGTCCTTAGCGTCTGCAATGCCCCCTGGTGTTATCTGGAACACGTAACCCTGTCAAGAAAATACACGCTGATGATAGAACCTCATTCTCAAAAGCATTGCAACTGTTTTCAGTGGCTATAATAATGCTTTTGCCCCCATTTTTAAAATCCAGCTAACGTGACTTGGTTATTTAGAATTACGATAAAGGTCCCTTTGTTTTTAACAATCATAGTTTCATAACTATTTGGGGTGGATTTGATTAATTTTGTGATTACTGGACGAGTAGATTATTTTTAAAGGAGCAAAAAAAAGGATATTGCTTCAGCCTCTGGCAGGTTGGGGGCGTCAAACACTTTGCAAATCCGCTGTTCCCCTTTTCCTTTCCTGAACATCAACCTTACTGTGGCTGCATGGGCTAGCACATGCCCTCCTGCTGGTTTCTTTGGATCAGTTACGAACACCCCGCCTCCTGGATCAGCTATGACTGCAACCAAAACACAAAATATCGTGTAGATAAATATACACTTTATTCTCATAAAAGCCCCAACTAAAACTCGAATGCTACTGCTATTACTTGTCATAAATTACAAGCTTCAAAACAACCAATTTGGAACTTGGGAGTGAAAACCTAATCCCCTTCCTCCAAAAGCAAACTCTTATATCAACAAACGGAGAATTTACCTTGATTTGTCATATAAACTGCAACATTGAACTCCTCAGCTATCTTTATTAATCGAGAAAGCATCTGTGCCAGTCTTTGCTGAAAACGATTGTTCAAGTCAGCAAAAGTTGACTCAGGGAGCGGATAAGTGCTAAATAACAGACCTGACGCTCTGCAAGCTCTCCTCTTCCAGAAAAGTCTACCCGAAACAGAGCAATCACCGAATCCACAATCTGCCACAAATCAAAATTCCTTAACTGTCCATATCCATGCATGATTCCTGATATTACAAACTGCGAAGATAACGTTGTTACTAAGTTAATAAGACCTCACCAGAAGTCTGAATGGCTCCTCGGACATTTTAGCAGCCAACCCAAGCAGGAGATTGTACTGATGCTCGTAAGTGTAGGCACGAGCATATATAATCTTGTGCGACAAACAGAATATGTTTAGGTGTCAACAGCAAATTATTTCCCTTCAGATCCTAATTATGATATATGGTTTCGAGAATACTTACATTGTCCAGTACAGCCCCAGGATCCATGCCAAATCTCTCAGCTATGGGAACAATTCGGTCAGGTCGGCTGCAGTTATTTGTGGATGAATGGGAAACATTTATATAATTTGGATGACGTCAGTTGAAAAAACAGTCACAAGTTATCGATTGAGAGAGGTCACTATTTAAGTTCTTAAGTAGTTGTTAAAATAAGAAAGAAAACATACAAAGTTCCTTCTGTGTCAATGTAAGCAACTTTTCCGTTGCCTCCCCTCATATTAGTTGGCAGCTGGAGAGGTCAGGAAAGATCAGTATGCAGTATACACCAAATAGGCAAATATTTCAATGTGCGTGGAAATAAGACTACCACGTACGCATACCAAATTAGTATTTAAGAAGCTACCATATTTGTTCTATGCATACAATAGATAGAATAATGTGATTCAGAAAAAGGGAAAAAAAAATAGTCGCAATCCCAATGCCATAGGTTACAAGAAAACACGACAGAGCAGCTTTTCAATCACAAATACTCATTTATAGCAATTAACGCCTAACATGTCATGACCAAACATCGAGCATAGAATATAAACCTGAGTGGAAACACAGAGAGTATGAGCAAGCTGTGTTTTCCCCGATCTGAAACAGTAAACAATATTCTTAGAATGAACATCTCAAACTGAAATGTATCAAATCTATCAGAAACTTTATACGAGCTGTGTTCTCACCGGAATTCTCCAAACGCTTCTGTAATGGCTAATGTCTCGATCCCACCTATTTAGAAAGAAGAATTCAGAGGGAAAACATATAGGACCAATAGAGAATCAGATTTTCTAGTCACAAAACAGTACGAGATTCATTCAGTGTAAGGCTACCTCCTAGCAATTCATCAAGCGCTTGGCTTCCAGTAGTGATTCGGATCACTGACTTCCTCTGTGGTAACAAAGGAAGAATAAATGCACACTCAAAGAAAATTAATTACGATTACTTAAGCCTAATGAAAGCTATTGTAATTCTTAAAACATCACAGACATGCAGATCTAAATGGAATCCAAAATTCAAAAAACTTCCAAAAACAATAAACAACGTACTTTGAGCAATGCGTCGCTTCCGGTAATATATCCAAAATTCTGCATCGCAGGAAAGGTCAAATTATGAAGAGCTGAAATAGTATTAAGGAATAACTTAGATTTCATACGCTACGATATCTTACCACAATCTTCTCAGCAGCCTCGCAGATCTTATCGACCTTGGCCTCGGATAGACCTTTGATTCCAGTCAAGTTCTACGAAAATATAACAATTATGTTAGCAATTAAAGTACAGAGCTACTCCACGTCCTAGATATTTAAATTAGAGATGTGTTTTAAGTTAAACCTTCTTTGTGTGCATCATCAAGCCATTGCAGGTATATATCCCTGCGTCCTGAAGCTTCTTCACATCTCCGGCATTGATGCCTTGAGCAATCACTGCGTAGAAGCGTATGGATGTGAATCGAATGCAAACGAATATTCCACTAATCAAACGAGTGCAGAATTGAGTTTTTCAAACTAGATCGTTGTTCTATGAAAAATTGAATCTAACAAGAACTCTCGGCAAAGAACGGAAAAAATGAAAATAGAAAATAACTGTAAAATGAAGAGCGAAGAGCAGTTAAGAATATATATNCTGCATCGCAGGAAAGGTCAAATTATGAAGAGCTGAAATAGTATTAAGGAATAACTTAGATTTCATACGCTACGATATCTTACCACAATCTTCTCAGCAGCCTCGCAGATCTTATCGACCTTGGCCTCGGATAGACCTTTGATTCCAGTCAAGTTCTACGAAAATATAACAATTAAATTAGCAATTAAAGTACAGAGCTACTCCACGTCCTAGATATTTAAAATAGAGATGTGTTTTAAGTTAAACCTTCTTTGTGTGCATCATCAAGCCATTGCAGGTATATATCCCTGCGTCCTGAAGCTTCTTCACATCTCCGGCATTGATGCCTTGAGCAATCACTGCGTAGAAGCGTATGGATGTGAATCGAATGCAAACGAATATTCCACTAATCAAACGAGTGCAGAATTGAGTTTTTCAAACTAGATCGTTGTTCTATGAAAAATTGAATCTAACAAGAACTCTCGGCAAAGAACGGAAAAAATGAAAATAGAAAATAACTGTAAAATGAAGAGCGAAGAGCAGTTAAGAATATATATATAGAGAGAAATCGAACGAGAAACTAGAGTAGAGAACGACAATACATTTGTCGATAGCTTCGAAGAGGTCTTCATCGTCTTCGATGTCTTCTCGTTCGACGAGCTGTAACTGGCCGCTGGATTCTTCGGATCTGAAAAGTCATCGCCGATCAAACTGTGAGGTAGAGTTCAGATTCTGAGATGAGAAGAAATGGCAATAGATTATGTGACTTACTTGAGCGTCGCAAGCATCGTGACTCCGGAAAGAAAGTATAAATGTGTCTAAAGAACAGTGAGAGAGTTTTTGAATTATGAATGAGGACTGAAGAAGTGAGGGGGATCAACATATATAGGGCTCGAAACGAGAAGGACATATTCTTTGAAGCTGAAAGGGAGAGCATACGCAAACGGTTAGCGTTCCCGCGTTTCTATTTCTCTCTCTAACTTGCCATTTTCATTTGCTTTTTTTTTATTCATGTTTAAATAAATTTGTAAAAATACGATCAAATTAAAATTGAAATACAAATAAGAAATATAATAAAAAATTTAAATGATAAAAGATTATGATGTTATTTGTCACGTGAAAATCCATACTAATTTTTACGTTTTCAGTTTATATTTATAAAGTTTATTATAAATTTTAATTTGCTGTCTGAGTTTATTCAATTTAGTATTAATATTTTTTTCTCAAATTCATCTTCATTTTCTTTGATTGTATTTTTTGATCTTTGATCTTTGTGTTGATATCGTTAAAATAATTAATAAAAAAGAATCTCAGTTTCATTTGAATTAATAGTTTTTCGATCTTAATTTTTTTAAAAATATTCAAAATATTCACGTTAGGCTATCACGTCGCATATTAAGATATTTTAAAAAATATTCACAATATTCACGTTAGACTATCATGTCGCATATCAAGATAAATGACATGTCAGGATTAATGCTTTATATTTAATTTGATTATTTTTATTTTTATTTAATTTAATTTTGTTTAAATATAATAATTTTGTTCATCTTTAATTTGACATCAAATTTAATTTTTATTTAAATATTATATTGATATTTTTGTTAAAATTTAAAATTTTTTAAAATATTTTTTAATTAGGATTATAATTAATTTAAAATTAGAATGAAAATTTACAATTTAGGATTAATGCTATGGATTTAAATTTTTAAGAGGTTAAAAAATTACCTAAAGTAATGTTATTATCTACTTTTTAACCTCATAAAATTTTAAAAATTTCATGTGATTGTTAACCTTTTAGAATTTAAACCAATAATATTATTCTTTACTTTTAAAATTTTCAATCTGATTTTAAACCAACTTTAACTCTAAACTAAAAATATTTATTAAACTATCAATATAACATTTATATAAAAGTTAAAGTTAGTTTGAGTTTAAAGAAAAACAAAATTATTTTACATTTTGATTAAATTGAATATAAAATACTAACCTAATATATTACATTACAATACGATGTTGACTTAACATATTAAGAATTTTTTATATTAAAAAATTAAAATTTTAAGAAAGTAACTAAAAAGTCACAGACATTCTTCACATATAATTATTTAAACAATGTTGGAGAAAAAATTAAATTAATAAAAAATAAAATTAAATTAAAATTAAATTAAAAATGTATATTAAAATTAAATTAAATAAAATAGAAATCAATATTTAAACTATAAATTTAATGTAAGAAGTGGGAAGTAGAACATAATTAAAATGAGTTTGGTATACAGGAGAAAAATGAGTTATACGGTAAAAAAATATATAAAAGAAATAAAATAAAGTATAAATATTCATTTCCACTCTTTTATTCTCTTTCATAAAAGTCTTATCAATCCATCCTTTTACCGGTAATTCTGGCACGCCCTGAGACATGAATTAGCTAGAGTTCAGAAAAACTAGCAAATTTATTGTTCCAATTTTAGTTTAGCTGTCCATTTTAATTTTTTTTTAGTCTGCGTTTTTATGTTGTATCTAGTTTTGTAAGACATCGTAAGTTATAATAATCTGGTCTCGTCTCATAATTTTACATAAGATTTTCAAAACTACAAGATAAACCATGAATATAACGAGACATACAAGTTTAATATTTTTATAAACTTAATGTTTATAGTCTCGAAACTTAAACACAAATTAAAATTTGTCGTTCTTATTAAATTTGATACTTTTTAGTTTTCAAACTTAAAAAATTAAATAAATGTATATTTTTTGAACTGATATTTAAACCGAAATGTACTAATGTTTGTAATTAAGTCAAACGTTAGGTTGATAACTATTTAAAAATTTTAACTGAGTTGGTTCAGAAAAATTATATTTATTCCTTTTTAAAATTTAAAAAATCAAAGTTTATGACACGAATGTATTCCAATTTCACATTAAGATTTAAGAACTAAACACGTTTAAATTTAATTTTATCATGAACTTGACTACATCTTTATTTATATGAAGCGCTGAATTTATAAGAGAATTTCACACATTAGTTGTGACAATTTCTGGTGACAGGGAAATATATAATTCTTAAATAACAATGACGAGTAATTGATTTGCAAAAGCAAATGAGTATATCACACAGGGTACGTACAGTATGTTAGATAGCTACGTAACATACTTCTTTCACTGAGGGAAGAAAAAGACAAGATCCTTGGGCTTGTCCAAATATTCTGACGGATCTCAGTTACCTAGCTGTTTACATCTTCCACCTGATCTAGGTGTTGCCTCCTTTGATTTCTTATTCCTAAGTCGTCATAATTTGATTCAGTTTTCCATGGAGGTGGGGTTAAACAATCAGAAACTCCCGGTACCCTTTGGGAAGGATCACCCGCCGGTGTCCTAGTTAGAGGAGAATCAAAATGGCCCACTCGCAGTTTTTGAAGTGCTGCAAATGACTCTCTTGTGGCAGACATGGCTTCAAAGAACCGAGTGCAAGATGCCAAAGCTACAGGAATGGGTCGAAGCATTTCCTGGGAAAAAGGCAAAAAGTAATTTCATTTTAAATGCAAGAAGCAAACAAAATAAAGTTTGGCCAAAATTACTACACATGATGTACTCAATGCAATGTCTGCACACCTTCCGAACATACAACAAAATTATGGTTTGTTATGCTCAAAATAAGAAATACTACAGGCTTATGTTTCACATGTCAATGAATCATGGTGCCTTTTCTCAAAACTCCATTTATAGTATCGCAGGCTAATTGATCGGACTTAAATAGACTTCTAAATTTAGTATGTCAAAGTGGACTTAAATAGACTTGTAATTACTCACTGAGTCATATTCTTGATGTACTCACGTCACAATTATATGGATGCATATTGGTTTAAGAATTAAGACAAAATGGAAACAGAATGCCCAAACATCTAATCGTGATTAGCTTATAACAAGAAAAGGAATCTAGAAGCCTACCCCCCAAACTGAAGGAGGTTCTTTGAAATTCTGACTCCACTGAAAATCTGCCACTGAAGCTGTCAAAGCACCATAATCACTAGCTGCCTTCATCAGAAGTTCAGAGAATTGTTTCTGCACAAATAAGAGAAATGTATCAAAAAAATTACAATGCCTGTCTTATATTGATTAAAATTTTCCACTTAAAAATAATTAAACATTTATATCAATCTTCAACTAAAGTTGGTCGTAAGGATATATGGTAATATTAGAACTAATTTGTTCTTGCCCCCCGAAATTTAATTACAATTAGTTTTAGTCCCCATAGTTTTTCTTTTGGTTGTCATGCTTACAAATTGTTTAATTCTTGAAAATGATCCTAGTGGTTTATTGATAACGTAGCATAAATTTAGTGATGCCACGTCGTGTGTAATCTCAGTTGTTGCTAATGTGGCATGTTTAGAATCTAGATGCATGTCAAGATCATTAAATGATAATAGTTGTTGTAAAAGATAAATTTACGAGGACAACCAAAACCAACAAATTTTTTTACAATAAAATAAAACCAAAATTTCGTCATATCTGTAAGGAACAGAACTAAACATTTAAGGCAAGAATCAATCATATCAATTGATCACATGGTAGCACAATTGGACAGTAATGATTCAATTTCGAAATTAGCAGAAGTCGGGTATAAATTTAAGTATAATCCTTAACTTTAGTTCTAATTTTACAGAAATAGCTTGTAAAAAAACAGTGCACTTCAGCGGAGCAAATAACCAGAATAATTGAACACACTCATGTAAGCTCAGTGGCTGATAAAGCACAGTACATAAATATTTCAGCCTATGTACATCATACTGCATAGGTAGTATATTGACATGCAAAGAGATGAACTATATTCCAATTACAATGGATGGCGAGGCAACATAGCCTCTCAATGAGTAATTTATGATGGATAGAGACTTTTATTTCATATCTAACAGTTTCAAATGAAGTCACTATATCACGTTTTTCCCACAATGCTGCATTTTGTAACAAGCTTTATTTAAGAAAAGTAATGAAACTATCACATTATAGACTTCATCTAGCAAACTCAGAAATTAAACACAATAAGATAATGTATACTAGCACAATGGTTAAGAGAACAGACAAATACAGGCACATGTGCCTATGCATGCCACAGGATGGCCAATCCGTGATCAAATTAACTTTGTAGAGATTTATAGTGCATTAGTTTAATATTAATTTAACCTGATATTCTGCTTCAACAGGAATGCAATCAAGGGAATATGGCTGCTGCAAGCGAGCTATAATGCGGTCCTGTCAAATTTGATAATGAAATCGTGTCAGAGAGCATATAATAGGTTGTCTAATTATATCTAGATAACTTAAGCCCTAACTCTAACTGTTCATCAGGAAAGCGAACAAGAGAATAACCAAGCATAAAGTGAGACTTGTGAAGAAATTCTCTTATTATTGTCTAAATGTTACTAAGTAAGCCTCTCCAGGGATGTTCATGGAATTTCGTCACTGATGCCCTTGCTCTTCTCAATTGATAAATGTGAAGAATAATGGACTCAACCTAGAAAATATGATTCTGATACACTAAGGCAGTGGTAGATGAAGGGGGCAAATCTTATATTACCTTGTTCTGAATAACATCTTTGAGTATAGTAGTAATCCTCGCCAATGTCTCAATCTTCTTTTCCATTTCACTCACATGAGTCAAATGTGCAACATTTTTGTCATCCTACAAATTTTACAAATCTCAAGATGAGTATAAAAATATAAGTTAGAATAAAACATCAAAAGAAGCCATTGGTTTTACTATGTAAACAACCAAATGTCTAAGCCTGACCTTTCGACCTTGAAGTTCAACTTGCAAGTCTGCGATTTTTCTTTGGACAGTAGTTAGTTCTCTCAAAACCCTGATCAAGTCCTCCCCCTTTTCCCCAGTTGTGGGGGATGAATTCTGAAGTCCTTCCTGGAAAGAAAGAGAATGATGTGACACAATTTTTCAAACAAATAGTGAGAATTGGATGAAAAAATAGACGAGTGCTAGCAATTCACCCTTCTACTCATTAATATTTATTGAAAACTACAGAAGCATCAGTAAGGTTCATTAGATTAGTAAGACCTGCAGAATTTTATGATTTTCAATAAATTCAAACTATTAGAGTGTTTGCAAACTTTTTGCAAAGACAATATCGTACCTGGGATGGGGGAGGGGACATGGAGAAACCAAGATCAGCAGCAATTGATAGAGCATCGGACATTCCCCCAATACGTTTCACTGGCTTCCTCCCCACCCAACTTGATTCGCTTGCCATTGACATTTTCAAATCCTAACACAAACAACAGCAGTTTTTTTAATTAAAGTTCCACCTTAACTAAAACCTGTAAAAATAAACAGGCATTGAAAATTTAATTTTGAGGAATTATATAAGCCTCCAACAATGGTTTCTATAAACATAATATATATTACATGGTGGGTAAGACACTGTTAAACTACTTTTTAGTCGCCTAAAGCATAACAAATTCAGTTTCCGCACTAATAAAGTATAGGGATAACCAAGCATCAATCCAAGAACTTGGCAAAATTAAGTTTTAAAATGTAAAGTTAAGTCTTATATTTACTATTTATTAACTACAAAACAAGGTGGGGAAAAGAAATGAAATTAAAAAGAAAAAAAAAAATTAAAGAATCTAACTCAAACTGATCTTAAACTAAACTAAGCCTATATGAAAAATAAGAAAAAGAATTTAAGAATCTCCTAACCTTGTAAACATTATTATGCATGCAATTCAAAAACAGCAACTAAAACTAACCTATGAATGCTATGAATTAATGATACAAGAAGACTAGAAGTAAAACTTGATATGGAAACTAATGATGCATGAAAGCAACGAACAGTTTAATGAAAAGAAACGGTATATACACATATCAGAACCAAAAGAATGGAAAATTTCACCATCTAAGCTAATGAACCTAATCTCTATTCAACAGGAATACCAAAATCAAAGAATCAGAACAAGAAGAATTGGTTAGAACAGAAATTAGAATCAAACTCATATAGGATTAGTGCAAAGAATGTTTGATCACAATTCAGGAAGACATCCTGTGAAAATAAGCCCACTTTGGGGTCTTAAAGTTCATTTTCAGAACTTAAAAACAGTGATCTCTACTCAATTCACCAAACCAAAGTGAATCCAACTCAAATTTGTGATTCTAACCAATATCAGATGCTACAATATACTCTAACAACTATTACCTATTCTACAATCATCATTATCAACATATCAACTTGAATTCTCTCAACAGAAGCTGACTAAAATATGCAGAAAGAGTACCTAAGTTCTAATCATTGTAGCCAAATTTAAAAGCATAACCTAAACTTCTTTCAATCAAAACGAACACATAAACATTTCATCTACTCAGATATTTGGGCTTAGTCTATTCTGTATTAGGGCATTGGCCCATATCTTACAATATAAATAAACTACCCTATGTGTATGCTAAAAAAAAAAAAAATTTAAAAGCATAACCTAAACTAATTTAAATCAAAACGAACACATAAACATTTCATCTACTCAGAACATTGCAAGAAACTAAGCAGAATTAATACAAGAAATATAAAAGCAACATGTTCGAAATAAAATTTAAGTAAAAACCTAAATTTAAATGCAAAATCAAAGCTTAACACTAAATCACAAATTATCAGATGCGTAAAACTAATTTCCAAAACAATAGAAGTCAAAACAATGGAAACTATCATTATCTAAAACATTCAACAATCTAAAAGCACAACTGAAACTATAGAAAGTGTAAAAACTGAGTAAAACTCCAAAATAGAACCAGAATTGAAAGTCAGAATAGAACAAGTGCACAAAATTGAAATGAAAATAGAATTACAAGTAAAAAGTCACCGAGAAAAGCACGCGGAGATGCTCATGGGCTGTCACCACTGTGAATCTCGATCAACAGTCCAAGAGCACAAAATCTACTCTCTAATCGCGCAGAGAAAAAAAATCTAAGAGAAACCTAAATCGCGCTCTCTATGCTACACTATCTCCTTCTAAACTAAAGGAAATGGGGTGCAAACACTGAACAGAGGTGAATGGGGTGCAGGTTTTCTAAACAATATATTCAACGCTGAAAAAGGCTTCATTTAATGCACACACATAATTTCCCAACAAATCAATTTCTTATGTATAACAACATCTATTAATTAGAAGGTATTTATGAAAATTGGAGATGCAAGATGAAAGAGTTGGAAGTGCAGAGTGAAACACCCTTAGCTCAATTAGCCCAGGTGCAGCCCAATTATCCAAGGGCACCATTGCAATAAAATCAAGTATGAATAGGGATTGATCAACAATTAAGGAAAAGACTTTTTAGCAATAACAAAAACAAAAAAAATATAATAAAATAAAACCTAATTAAACAAAAATTAAAGAAAAAGATTTTTTTATTAAAAATTTCAGAAAAAGATTAATTTTCTAAACACTAAAAATACATCTAAAAACCTATTTTTAACTAAAACTCTATAAAACTAAAGAATTAAAGGAAAAACTAAAAATTAATCATAATTCTATACCATTAAAAACAAAGATGAACTAAAAATGACTTCTAAACACAAATAAAAGTGCAAATTAGATAGTTATCAGACAAAGTCTGCAATCTGGTACCTAAACCTAGCTTCAATTTGATGAAATACTAACCAAAGTGTTAAGTGCATGCTCAGTCGCAATCAATATTTGGAAAATAATCACTTCTTTTAACAGCTCTTCCAGAAAACTATGAGATGACAAGTAATGTTCCAGCACTTTGAATTGAACTATATTTTCATGTTCAAACAGACTTAAAAGTTCAATACACAGGGAGTAAATTAATAAACTAATAGGTCCGATCCCAAACTCATTAAACATGTATATTCCATCACCTGATAAAAACAGTACTCTGAACCATGACTACAAAAGATACAAACTAAATTTAACTAAAATAAATCCATGCAGAATCTCAGTTTAACATCCAACTATATTACCCAATCTAAAATCAAAGAGAGAAAAGACACTAAAGAAATAAAGAATGTAAGACAATGAATTTATTTCAAACTATGCTGAGACATAGTATTTTTTTTCATGCAAATTGACTGGCTAACAAATTATGAACAAGGTTAATTGTCAATTTGCTGTGGGAAGCAGCATTGGCACAACGGTTAGGATGGTGCCACGTGACTAAGAGGTCACAAATTCAAGGCATGAAATCAACCTCTTACAAAATGCAAGGTAAGATTGCCTATAATAGATCCAAAATGCGGCCGACCCTGCCATGGCAATAATTTTATAGGACTGGGTAGCCTCTTTTTGTTAATGCGGTCTGTCAACTAAAAAGAAACTGTCTACAAACTAATGGATTTTGGCCACAAAGGGCATGCAAACCCATAAGGAAAGATTTTTCTTTTTCTGACAACTGCTGAACCATACCTCTTTGGTCTTTGTTGAGGATAGAGGTTTGTTGCATAATGAATGTTTAGAGTAATGCTATTAAACCTGGTGTGGTCATTAAGACTCAGCTGTAGCACTGGGTCACTGGTTCAAGTAGTGAGTCATTAATTGAACTATATATGTGCAGGTGCCATGTCTGTAATTCATACTCAACGTAAATAATTCATGACGAGTAGCAAACTAGCAACAAGCAAGTATTCTTTTATCTTCAAAACATAACGTAATTTGTTTGCTAATAGAACAGAACAGATCACAGAAATTACATAAAAAAGGAAATCAATCGCCGCACCCATATTCCTTAAGCGAACAATAAGGAAATTACAATGAATAAAATATTACTACCTACTAAAGATTTGAAAAGTCATAATATAATCAAGAAGTTTAATGTAGTCAACAAGTTAAATAGGTGTACATAGCAAAGAACAAATAAGTGACAATATAATTCCAAATAATTCTAGCAGCAGAAAAAAAATAAGCAGGCAGCAAACACTTTGAGATTCCCTTGACATTAGATAAGACGGGTAGTTCTCTTTACAGAACTCAAGAAGCAATTGCCAATCCAGAAATTTGTCAAAATAGCATAAATCTATGACAATGATCTTCAACATATGCAAAATGAGTGTGTAATTCAGCCAAATAAATAGGATTTATTTACCTATAAAGCTTCACAAGATCACCCTTAAAGCCACTCCAGCCACGAGCCCAGAAAGTTGAGATAAAGCTAAAAAAAATTCCGGCGTGCGAGACCGGCCCGATTTACTGTCCAAGCTCTTTTACAAAATCAGAAGAAGGTTTAGACGAGGGAATGGGGGAAGGATTCGGGTGAGGGAAGGGAGGAAAGTTCTATTGATAAAATCTTTATCCCTTTCATTCACTGATTCACCCGAGCTCTTGATCATGGAAATAACACTCCATTTTAAATGTTCCTCCTCTTACATCTTATATGATAAAATTCAAAGCATTAAAAACAAAAAGGTAAAAGCATGACAAAAATTACACCAACGGGAAAGTGTGGGTTGAGGGAAGAGTACCTGCGCCGGGAAGAAAAGAAGAAATCGTCTATTGCGGACTCGCCAACTGAATTCCAAGAACAATGGTTCCGACGGATTGATTTTCCGGTGAGATTCCAGCGAGTAAGGACACGTGCGTCTGTCTCGATTTGAACCGATGTTCGACGAGGTTCAAACGATTTCAAGTGCTAACTGCGTCTGTATTTCGGATCTGACTTAGAATACACGATGGCTGACATTGAAGAACAGAGTAGAAGAGAAATCATTCGCCCTTCGCCTATTTTCCTCCCTTTAACGGCAACACTGAGAAGACATTTGAATATGGGTTTTCTTAAAATAAACATGAGGAATAGTTCATTATTTTTCTATTGATTATGCTTCCTATTAACTTTATGTTCTATTTGTAATTTTTCTTTTTTATTTTAATATATGTATTAAAATAAAAAATAAAATTCAGGTTGGAAAACTTCCACTTTTTTCAGAACTTCCTTTTCAAACTTCTCTGAATATTTCCCATGGTATTTATAAAAGAATAATGAGTAAATACAAATAAAAAAACTAAAAAATGTAAAGATAACTAAACTCACACATTATGTAAACTTATAGGTCGTGGGAACCATCTTGAGAACATTGATCATGGCCTCAAAAACCTCCACCAGAGTTCAACTATTGAGATTTCTCAAGAAAAAACATCACAAACACAGAAAGGAAGGCTCGTATAAAGGTCATGAAAGAAGCATCTATATCTTACAGCTCATAAATATTCAAATCTAAAAAGATCATCAACCTAATAACACATAGATGAGATGTTTCATGGGATTTAATACAACACCCCATTCCTTCTTAATAATGTATGGAGCTAAAACCCTTTAACATACTTCTGAATAATCCTTAATGAGAGACAAATGCGAAAAAACCCATAACTTTTTTGTCATCCATATCATGGTTATAAAATAAAAATAAGCTTTTTAATCTATAAAAGTACGTCATGTTTGTGTTTGTGTTTATATTGTTGGACGGTCACCGGTTTATTGGATGACATTGACTTGTATAAAAATATAAGTGTTTTTTTTTTGGACTGGTATCCTGTTATATGACCTAAAAGAATGCATAATGTTTAAATTAGGATTTTTTGGAGATCAAAAGATGAAAATTGAGTATCTTTAAGAAAATAAATCACTAAGAGACACTTAGATAAGAGAATGGTGAAAGTGTGTGCTATATATATATATTGTTACTTTTTTAAATAGGTTAACCAGTTCATATTATATAGAAGCATATAATATAGTAAGTCCACATTTTAATATAAGAGAACAATTAGAAGTAGACTGTAAGTAAAGTATTAAAATTACAGTCATCCCAAAAAAAGTCATAATTTAAAAACTTCCTACTTAACAGAGTATTTCAAAACAATACTCAGTTAAGAAATTCCTAAACAAACTAAGCAGCAACATCATCTTCCTCCAAAGCCTGCTCCAGAGGCACCTCATTCACCTCTGCTCACATCTAAGTGGATGATCATTGCAAAAGAAAAGCATACCCGGGCAAAACACAAACACAGAAGCAAGGGTGAGCTAGATATACAAAAATCATGTTATAACAGTCACAAGCAACATGCAAGTAAGAACAGATATACTACACTACACAAACATGACTTGTTGCACTCAAACTTGACTCGTCCGGACTTAGAATGATTGCCGAGCTATGGCGGGTCATGCACTCGTGGTGGCCTTTACTGCTTTGCAAAGTCACTGCCAATGGGTTTCACCCTACCACACTCACGAGGTTAGTCCGTTATCACTTACCCTAGGCCATACTGGAAGCACCCAATACTAGGACCTTCTACTACTACTCGCGACATGATTCAATCCTCACTACTGGAGAATGATTGACCCTTGTAGTTTCAGAATAACCCCCAAGTAGGAAGCTACCATGCAAATCATTTTAAACACTAAGGGCACCACCATGTAACCTTCCTTTGAGATCCATGGAATTACGTCCAATAACATAAGGCACCACCATGTAACCTCCTTTGAGATCCATGGAATTACGTCCATCAACCACACTTTTAAAACCACATACTTTCAATCACCAAACATGTCTCATACACTCGCATACTTTCAATATAATCACATTACCACCATCATATTATGCATTCCAAACATTCCACACACTTAATTCAACCAAAACAAGAGCAAAAGATAACTTTGGACTCAGAGGATTCGCACAGCGCACCCTATTCGCAAGGCAAATTAACTCGCTGAGGTGTTGTACCTCATGTCCCTCGCACAACGCACCCACTTAATTCGCTATGCGAATTAACTCGCTGAGGCTATAGGCCTCAGGTCTCTCGCATAGCGACAGGATTCGCTAGGCGAATCCACAAACAGAGAGCAGCACCCTCTGGTCATCCACACAGTGCATTAGCTCACACAGCGAATGACCCATACAGTGAGCACCTTCTACATGGTCTCGCTATGCGTGACAGCTCGCATAGCGAGTCTGCATAATCTGCAGAAAGCAAATTCTGCAGAATTATGCAACTCACACACCCTTTGCCATTTCTAGTCATTTTTCCCAACTTCTAACAATCATAATTCGTGTTTTATACTTAATTAAACTTATCTACACGATCCCAACCCTCCTTACTACAAATCTATAGTGGTTTAGACTCAAATTCTACTCTAGAACACCAAAATCCACAACTTAGGGACCCAAATCCAATTTTACTACTTGTAACTTGTTTTAGACCAGTTTGAAGTTCCTAACAAGTCAGAATTGACCTATCTGAGCTACCCAAACAGCCCAAACCCACACAAGATCTCCCATGCCCAAAATCGCTACCTCACTACCTTCAATTTGCCCCAAAACACTACAGTTTCACTTGACCCCTTATCTAATCACCTTCATAACATCTCTACCTCGCCAATGAACCCAAATCACAACAATACATTTTCCCCAGATCAATTTACAACAGTAATTTACAATTCCACATTTACTCATACAGATGCATACAAAACAAGGTCACTCTAAACACAAACTTGTTCATCAAACAGCAGAATATTACAGATTTCAACACATGCATTGTTCATACAACCCATAGAAAAGTATCTAACTCCCCTTACCTTAGAGTAACTTGACTGAACATCTCACAAGACCCCTTCAATCGAACCTTGAGTTGTGAGAACTCAACAAAACCCTACAGAACACCACATTGGTGACAGAAACAACTCTTAGAGCTAGAATAAAGTGGAAAATTGAAGAAAATGAAAGCACGAGACACATGCAACTAACAGAGATTGCATGTGCTGGTTGAAGGACATAGAAGAGGTTGCATGGAGGGACTTCCTAACTTAGAACCCGAAATGAATCGGTTAGTTATGAAGCCCTTTACGTCGCGGACGTTTGAGCGTCACCTAATCAGGAATTCACTGGCTTAGTGAAAAAGAGATTGAAGAGAGAAGACAAAGATGTGGTAGAGAGAAGACAAAGATGTGGTAGAGAGAAGACAAAGAAAAAAGAGAAGAGACGAGTTTTTAAAGAAAGAATGGGGTTGGATTAATGAACCAAAATGTGTCTGAAAGGTGCTTTTAAAGAAACAATTTCTGGTTTTATTAACTTAATACCCTATTAAATTTTCTAATTCATTTTGAGGTTCTTACAATCACAATAAAAAATACCAACAATAACATTATTTAATTTTATAATTAGTTTTTATGGATGTATCTATACTATTATATATAAAGTGTTTTTACATCTCCAATTTTAACCTTTAAGTACTTTTTAAATCAAAATAATTATTTTATAAAATTTACCTTTTTAATTTTTTTTTTCTAAATTTAATAATTTTCTTTACCGTTTTCTTAAATTTAACAAATTTTTAAAACTAAAATAGCTATCTATAACAAAACAATTATCTACAAAAACAATTAAAAATGACTTACAATAAAGTTGTAAGAATTATTTAATTTATTTTATAATTATATAATAATAATTTTATTATTTTTCATCATCATAAATAAAGACAAGTTTTCACTAATCTTTTATAAATTTAATAATATTTTATTTGAATAATCTACTTTTTGTTTTCATTAAGAAAAAGTGAACGCATATTATGGGTACTTATATCCAGAAGTAATCAAAAGGCTCTTAAATAACTGTAAACACTAACATGTAGCCGTTCTCCGACTTAATCTTAAATTTGGTTTGAAGAGACGATGTTTAGTATCAATCCAATCTAGAACAAATTTGGTGTTTTAGAAAATGCTCTGAGAGATAATTGAAACGAAGTTTTTCCTGTCTCTTTTTTTTTTATTCTTAGTATTCACCCCGCAGCCTCTTTTGACTGACTCCCCATACCTAGTAATTAGTGCTGAAAACGAGGGCTATTATCGTAAATCCTCCTTAACGCCGCGTTTGGTAATCAGCATATCGAACGGCGACTACCCCCAAATATTCAAATCCATCGCAAACACTGCCTCTAGAATCTAGGGTTTTCTTTCCCTCTTTCATTCTCCACTCCTAATTTGCGAACCTCGTCGGATTCAGCCAATGCAGCTTCTTCACTCCGACGAACCCGCGTCCGAGCGGCGCGAGTCGCCGGAGAAGCCCGAGGATTCTAGCACTTTCTCCGATTCTCTGGACTCCGTAACCGACGACAGCGCGGCTCTCGACGTCACCGGGAAGAGCGTGGAGTTTCCGGAGGCGGAGAACGCCGAGGACTCGGCGGAGAGCCTTTACGTGTACAAGAACATTTACAGTCTTATTCCGAAGTCGGTTTCGCGCCTAGCACAATTGCGAACGCTTAAATTCTTCGGAAATGAGATTAACCTGTTCGCGCCCGAGGTTGGGAACTTGACGGCGTTGGAGTGCTTGCAGATGAAGATTTCCTCGCCGGGGATCGGAGGCTTGCCGTTGCACTCGCTCCAGGGTTTGAAGGAACTCGAACTCTCCAAAGGACCTCCCAGAACGTCTGCTTTTCCGATTTTGACAGAGATTTCTGGTCTCCAGTGTTTGACTAAGCTTTCCATTTGTCATTTTTCCATAAGGTTAGCGTTCGTTCCCCTGTCATTTAATTTGTCTGAATTATAATTTTTAACACAATTGTTGTTTAAGATTATAAATAATGTGGTATGTGGGTCATTAAGATATGAGCATGTCTGTGTTTTGTAACTACTATAGATACCTTCCTCCGGAAATTGGATGCTTGAAAAAACTGGAGTATCTTGATCTTTCGTTTAATAAAATGAAGACGTTGCCAGTGGAGATTAGTTACTTGAGTGGCTT